ATATCAATCACACTAAATAGGTAAATGATATACTTAATATTAGATATATTACTAATAAATCTTTTTAAAGTTAGAAAGTTTTTGTCTTTTAAGTAATTGTAACGTAGAAAACCAAAACCATGGGTCGGCAACTAGCAATCCACTGACACTTCTTTGGAAACTATGGGTCTCATCTCTCTCTTTCCAATGTTATTATTTAAAAAAAAATTCATTTATTTATTTTTCAATCAATATAAAAGGTTTAAATACTGTAGTTCGGATGGTTTCTGTTTTTTTTTTTTTATCCTTGCAACTGCCTGATCCTACAATATTTGGTGTCGAGACACATATAAGAATTACTAATTCTTAAGGTAGGTGATCATCATGGGGTTTAAACTCATTCCTTCATTAATTAACTCTAACCCCTCCCCTTTGGTAAGGATTGTCGAGACCCTCCAAAATAATTACTGATTCTACTAAATCTAACTTGTAGAAGTAGTGAGACCAGATCGAGTCCCAATGGAATCAATGAAACTAATTTGTCAAAGTAAAAAAATGGGGGTTTTGAATTTAAATTTTTAAATTTAAATAGATAAACTAAAAGGAAAACTAAAGTCAATCTTACAAAACTTCCAATCTAAAGGTATGATTTTCATCCAATTGTAATCTTGATTATAAGTTTTACACAAAATTAGTTTCTTGATTCAAGAACTTAGTCTACTTACTCGGAACAGCCGTGGTAAGTTTTAATTCTTCTAATTTAATTAATTTAGACCAAGCATCAAAATTAAATCTTATTAATTAATCAACTGAGCACGATAGTGTTCCATATTAATCAAAGAATAACATTAAGGACGATGAGAATGACTAAACCAAAATCAATCAATTTGAGCCAGCTGCAAGTTAATTAATTTTGTCCCTTTGTTTGGCTAGAATCTATTATGCAGACTATGTAAACATGGAAAAGCCATAAATACACACACATAAGCCAACTCCTTGCTACTTATTTCAATTATTCATGACAATTACGAATCACAAACTCATGGGTAGCAGTAGAACAATTAATATGAATTAAGGTGTCAATTTAATTAATATAAACTATTCATAAATATTAAGAACAAGAAACAAAGAATACTTAGAATAAGAATAAATCTTTATCTAACTTGAGTCTCCCAAGCTTACAATCGGACTTTAATCACCCTTGAGTTGGAAGAATTAAAACCTAGCCACTCATAGTAGAGAGGAGAACTTGAATTTTGGAGAAAGAGCTTTTCGTTGGAACTGGAAATGATGGATCTCTCAATGAGGCTTCTCTATTTATAGAGATTAATTTTATCAAAAGAGGAATTATCTCTAATATTTGGAATACTTAACTAATTGGGAAGATCCTATTTAAAAGAAAAAAAAATTAAATAAAAGAGTTCCTAATCAATTAAGGATTATGTTTCCTACTTTGATTATATCTCTTTATTTACAAAACATCCTAAAAACTCATAATTCTCAAATTGAAGCGTCCCGCCATAATAACTGTATCTGTATTTTATCCGTTAAGCTCTCCCCAACTTTGTGAAGTCCGCATTATCATCTAAAATTGTGCTTTTAAATTATTATTCTTGAATATCTTCAATCTGCCACAAAATGATAAATTATAATTAAATTCAAATATTTAAACATAATAAATTAATAAAATGTAAAATAAATATATAAAATATGGGTGTATTTTTCATCTTTATCACCCTTAGAACCAATGAGTCACCTGTGATGGTTAACTTTTGTTCATTTTAGTTCATGTGTTTTCAAAACGTATGTTTTGGTCTCTCTACTCTTAAAAAGTTATCATTTTAACCTATTCATTTTCATTTTTATCTCCTTTTTTCAATCACGAATTTAGCATAACAAATTTGTAAGTTTTCTATTGTGTATAAAATTTTATATTAAAATTTTACAAATAGAGACCAAAATGGTCATGTTTTAAAAGTACAGAAACTAAAACGGACGTTTTGAAGTATAAGGCCTAAAATGAACAAAAGTTGGAAGTACCGACACAAAAATGGACGTTTTGAAATTAGACAAATGAACCAAAATCAAAAGTACAAAACCAAAATAATATTTAAACCAAAATAAAAATGAAATTAGGTTAATTACAAATTTTGTCTTTTAATTAAGTTAAAAATATACACACACACATGTATATAGAGGTCCTTAAAACATTTCATATTTTATCTAATTAGGTGGTAAGGGCTGTCGAGACCCTCCAAAATAATTATTCATTTTACTAAATCTAACTAGAAGTAGTCAGATCAGATCGAATCTCAAGGGAACCAATGAAATAAATTTCTCTACGTTAAAAAATGCGGTTTTGTATTTAAATATTGAAATTTAAAAAGATAAACTAAAAGAAAAAAGAAAGTCAATCTTAACAAACTTCCAATCCAAAGGTGTGATATTTAATCTTGATCATAGGTGTTACACAAAATTGGTTTCTTGATTCAAAAAGCTAATCTATTTACTCAAAACAGTCCTGGTAAGTTTTAGTTCTCCTAATTTAATTAATTTAGACCAAGCATCAAAATTAAATCTTATTAATTAATCAACTATCACTATAGCATTCCATATTAATCAAATAGTAAATTAAGGATAATGAGAATGACTAAACCGAAATCAATTAATTTGAGATAGCTGCAAGTTATTAATTTTGTCCCTTTGTCATTTATGCAAGCTATGTAAACATGGAAAAGTCATAAATACACACACATAAGCCAACCCATTGCTACTTATTTGAATCATTTATGACAATTACAGATCACAAACTCATAGGTAGCAGTATAACAATTAATATGAATTAAGACGTCAATTTAATTAATATAAATTGTTCATAAATAATAAGAATAAGAAACAAATAATACTTGAAAAATAAGGGCTCGTTTGGTAACGTTTCCGTTTCTTGTTTCTCGTTTCCAATTTTCTTAAGAAATCTAAGTATTTTACAACTAACTTTATTTATTGTTTCTCATTTTTTGGAAACATTCTCACAATTGTATAGAAATTTTGATAAAAACTAAAACAAGTTTCTCATTTCTTGTTCCCATTTCCAATTTGCTCTGAAACACAAATAAAAATATTGTTTTATCATATTTGAATTCTTAGATGTTGGAACCATGCAATACATTTTTCTTCATTCAAAATAAAGAAACAGAAACAGGAACGTTATCAAACAAGTCATAAGAAATCTTTATCTAACTTAAGCCTCCCAAGTTTACAATCAGATTTGAGTCACCCTTGAATTGGAAAAATTAAAGCTTAGTCGCTCATGGTAGTGAGAAAACTTGTGTTTAGGAGAAGAGAACTTTTCGTTGGAACTTATATCTTGGATCTTTCAATGAGGCTCATTTATTTATAGATGTTAACTTTATCCTTTAATAACGAATTCATAACTAATTGGGAATATCATATTTAAAAAAAACAAATTAAATAAAATAGTTCTAATGAATTAAGGATTATGTTTCGTAATTTGATTATATCTCTTTATTTACAAAATATCCTAAAAATCCATAATTTTCAAATTGTAGCGTCATAATAATTGTGTCTGTATTTTGTCCGTGGAGCACTCCCCAATTTGGTGAAGTACGCATTATCCTCCAACATTCCGCTTTTAAATTATTATTCTTGAATATCTTCAATCTGCCACAAAATGATAAATTATAATCAAATTCAAATATTTAAACATAATAAATTAATAAGTAAAATAAATATATAAAATATGGATGTATTTTTCATCCTCATTAGTCATTGAATTTTTTTTTCTCCATATTTTGTATCTATTGAGTTTATGAATCAATTAGACACAAATTTGAAAGTTCTATAATTTAAACATTAAAATTGAAAAGAGGTCACTTGTTGGGCCAAAACTAAAACAATGGGAATGAGGTCGCTTGTTGGGCCAAGTTATTTAAAAAGGCCCAAAACCTTTTTTTTATTGTTCACAAAGTCTGCTGCCAACATATAAAATATAACCTTTTTTTTAACCTAGCCGTGGAGTGGAATTTTGTGTTGGTACACAAAAGTGGGTGTGGCGGCAAGTAGTGTTGGTAGAGGAGGAGAAAAAGAGAATTCAGTATCTAGGACATTATCGGCAGCCCGTTCTCTTGAGATTAGTGAGGTTTTTCATTATGTATATTCCTAAGTAGCGCTATTGCGTAGTGCTTAGAAGTTAGGTTGGCAATTGTTGTGGCATCTAGAAAAAGTTTTGTAAAGCCTTTGTGAGACTCATTGTATTTATCCCAATATCGTAGTAGAACCTGTTGTCGCGGAAGACTGGACGTAGCCCATAGTTGGGGCGAACCAATATAAGTTGCTTGTGTCGTTTCTGTGCTTTTCTCTATATCTCTTATTATTGTGGTTGATTGTGTTTTTCGCTGACGAACTGTAGATGGAGAAAATATTATTGGTAAGTAAATTTTCCCAACATCCTAACAATGCAAACTGTATCCCAGCTTAACATTTTCAGACTACCGATGTCAACCCCACACCCCAAATGCCACCTTCAAATTTTACTATCAAGTTGTTATCTATTTCATGTTAAATAGTACACACATCAGCAAGACTGACTTGAGTACTACAAAATAATAATATCTCCAAACTTTTTCTTTAGTTTATTTTCTTATATTTTTCTTCCTTTCCTCTTAAATTATAAAGAAATGCAAATTAGGGCCACTAAAACATAGAAACAACACAAATATCAGCAAATATAGATAAGATTAAAATGTATTAAAGCATCAATTTCTGAAATTAATGTTATTTATCATCCAATAGGGGCTCAATTTCTAAAGCACATTATCTAAATTATTGCAAAAATAAAGTATGAAACCACAACACTAATAAAATCAAAATAAAGAGAATAATAATGTATTTTAGCTGGGCTCAGGGTATTAAGTTTTGGCGAGATGTCGATATTTTCATCAGCATTTTCATATGTCTATGAATCCGACATTCATATGAAGGAAAAATCAACATGATCTCCCTCAGTGGAAGTTAACTAGATATTTAGGTTGTTTGTTTGGGGAGAACAAACCCCAATGTTTCTCAACCTCAGGAGGAGTCGTCTTCTGATTCTCATCAAACATTGCAAACACATAGGTTTCAATAGGCATTCCAGGTCTCTTTGGAGTCCCTCCTTTCACATGTTGAATCAGGTTATTATTATAAGTTCTTGCATTGTCTACCTTCGCCGCCTCCCCGCCATCCGTCGGCCAACCACTCTCCGAGACAACAATTTCCAACCCTCCGCCGGCAGACTTCTCCAAAGCAGAGTAAACAGCATCCAAAATGGCATCAAACAAATTTTGATAAACAAGTTGGCCATCTGAAACCATCGACATCCCTGTAAAAAGTGCATAATCGAGAGAAATGTCTTTGGTGTTTGAGATATGACTGAAATAAGTGTACAAGTTGAGGAGCAATGGCGAGTTGTTGTCGACTAGGAAGCGGATGGTTGGGTCGAGAATCGGAAGATAGTCACTTCTGAAGGAGCCCTTTGAAGGAGGGTAGGACTCTGCAAGAACTCCGGTGTCAATGGCAGTAGAAACTTTGATTTTTCCTCTCAAGCCCGCCGCTGAAATTGCGTTTTGGATGTTTTGCATGGCGGGAACGAGGAATCTAGCAGCCCCGTCGCTCGGTTTTATCTCATTTCCGACGACAATGTACTTGAATTTCACATCGCCGAAGCTGAGGACATTGTCTTGAAACCATGAATTGGCATTTTCTTGAGTGGTGGCCATGGCTTCAAGCTCGTGGTTGGGAATGCCGAGCATGAGCTCAATGTTGGAGCCTCTAAGAGCGTTGAGAGAAGGTTGGTTGGGAGCGTAAAGTCGCATTCTTTCGATATTGTTCTGATTGTAAAGGTCGATAACTTCTACCGGAGATGGTAGGTCATCACCAAGTTGTCCATAACAGACACCAATTTGAGCATCTGCATCAAATTGAGTAAAGTTTTGTTGAATTGGTCAAGGATATCCCACGTTAGAAAAATAAGAGATATAACAAAGGCTTATAATATATATGGAATACTCCTCTCGTTATCAATTACGGTTATTGTGATGGAATCTCATAAATATATTGATATAATCATATAACACATTATAGATATATCTGTCGTGTATACGACATATATTGAATTATATATTCAGAATAAAATATGAAATTATAGAGATAGGTTGGGGAAATTAATCAAATATGAAGTGATGATTAAGATGGATGGGATAAAGAACCATTTCAAAGACAGATTAATTTTAGGGTAAGAGGAAGTAGATATTAGAGAGTGATATTAGATACAAACAAATAAATTTGACAGAAATATTAGTGGTTGTATAAGTTACAAAAGTTATAATCAGAGGTTTTTTTTAATGATTTGGAGTCGGAGTTTTACTGCCTTACATACTGGGGTTCCGCCCGTCCCAAAGTCCATACTTGAAAAACATTAAGGATTTTTTATATTAAGATCATTAGAAGGTTCAAATTCGAGACTTCTAATTCGAGACTTTAATTATCTCAATGATCATATTTAACAAAATTTGTATACAAAATCTTTAAGCATTTGATAAAAATAGATGGTCGATGATTTTCGTAAAATGGAAAAATATGTATGATTTCTATCTATCAATTGGAATTTAATCATAAATTTCTCATAGGCACCTTTTGAGCTTAACCAAAATTTCTAATAGTCACGTTAATTTGAGACAAACATTTTAAAAAATAATAATAAATCATAACTCCAAAATCTTATTTATTTATTCTTAAATTTTAAAAGTTTTAATTACAGACTTTTGAATTATATTTTTATTTAGGAGTATTCTACCTTTAGAATCATTAATGAAATGTTGACCCGACATGCCCATTAAATAAATTGTGGCTGAATTGGCATAATGTGGAGCCAGACAAATAGACAAGCTAAATAAACAACATCAATTTTTTGTTAATGAAATAAAGGATAGAGACTAAAACAAACATAATACAAATTTTAAATATGTAATTGACACGTTTTAAAGTTAAAGGACAAAAAGGAAACATAATATACTCAAGTCGAAGTACGATCACCCACTTTATGATCACTTTTCAAGGGAAAACGAAAATAAGAGTAGAAAAGCAAACATGCAAATATATGAATCAAATGGGAGTAGATTGTGATATATATAATGCATAAACCAAAAACATTCATAAGAGAGAGAGACTGACTTGTTAGGTGAAGGTTTGCAATTAGTAATAGCCAAAGAAGAAATGAGAAGAAAATGGAAAAGCCTTTGGCATTGGCATAGAAATTGGCCATGGATATGGATATATATATAGAGCTAAAACACAAGGAAAATATAGGTTTAAGAGAGAAGATTATTGCTTTTTTATGCTCATATTAGTGCTCTTAGGTTCCCTTTTTATAGTGGAAATTTTGGCTTGTGTTTTGGTTCATGACTTCCTCTTGTTCGAGACTTGGGAATTGTCAATAGAGAGAGAGAGCTGACCCTTTTAGTGGAAATAGAAAAAACCCACTTGTTTAAATTCTTATATGAATAGTTTGGTGGAAACATTTTCCACAAGTCAATAAATTTAATGTTTGAAACTTTGAACAAAGAATAAGGAATTTATTTGAATTAGGTTGTGAAATTTTATAGGGTTGGATTTGTTTGAAATAATTTCGGAGTCTTATATCTAATAGGAATTAAGGTAGTTTATTAGTTTTCCTACAATTAATACTGATCGAATGCGAATTTATTTTTCAAGAGACATATCTTTGGAAGGTTTTTTTTTTTTTCCTTTTTTGCTAATCACATCTTATTCCCACTATTTTATTTTCCAATCTTGTTGATAAAAAAAAAAACAAAACAAAAATAGTTCTAATTCTTTGAAGGATTATTTTTTGTATGGACTACCATTATGCATAGCGTGGAGAAAGGTTAATAGATTATATTTTTCAATATTTACATGATAATATTAAGATGATTCAAATAAATTGTACCATATGAATTAACATGTTTATAGATGTTTTTTTTGGGCAGTTGCAAAATATGGCAAAAACATTGAGTAAAATTAACAAAATAGCAACCACGTTTAGTTTTTTCAAATATAGCATTTAAAAAAAAGCGGAGTTCCGATTTTAAAATGACCTATTTACTCAAATGATATACATCTATAATATATCTGCAATATATCTGTCATATATCTAACTACTGAATATAAATATCTAATATACTCGCAATATGCATTTGATATACCACTGATATGAGTGTCTGATATATTACTGATATCAATATCTGATATACTACTAATATAAGTAAAAATTTGTGTTATATTTGAAAATTTTTAAAAACAAGTAACATATTTTGAAATACATAAAAGATTTTTTTTGTTACCCACTGCAATTTCTTTTTTTTTTTTTTTGACATTTTTTATACTTTAGAATATGTACATATGGGAAGTATTGGGGAAATTAAACGTATTTCTTTCCCCCTCTCCCTCTTTTTTTTTCTTTTTTTTTAGAAACTAATTTAGTTTTTTTAGAGAGAGATAAACTAATTTAGTTATTGACACTAGAGATTTCCAAGAAATAGTTGATCAAGTTTGAAATGGTCTAAAGTTGTCATCCATGTATACATAATATTGTCTTTTTTTTTTTCTAATTTGATTCTCACGTCTATATTTTCTCATAAACTATAAAGCAACTTCCCTTTAATAAATTATCTACAATATATAATTTGTACCATATATAAAATATAAAATGGGAGAGTTTTTACCTACCAATTCTGCGGCACAACTTTTGTATATGTATATCGTGTTCTTTCAACTTATTAATTATCAATTTATATATTTTAGAGTGTACTTACGTTTTTTTAAATTAGGGCCACATGCAAATATAGTAATAAAATAAAATAAAATTGTAAATATTACAATCACTTTTTTTATTTGCAAAATAGAGTAAAAATCAAAGGTCCAACCTGAACCAAAAAAAATGAATGGGTTGATTTTTAAAATCAACGGTTTTTTTAAAATGAGAAAAACATTTCTGTAGATATACCTAATAGAAAGTTTATCAATGAAATACTTCATATTAGGTATATTAATTTATGTCAAAGTGAGTATAGTTCAACGATAATTGACACATTCCTCCAACCATGAGGTTGTGAGTTCGAACTCCAACCTCATATGTTGTAAAAAAAGTATATCAATTTATAGACATAATGAGAGTAAAATCAGAATAGCAAAAGAAATGTTTAAAAAATTGTCATATTCTCAATAGCCTAGCCAAGGTTTGAAATGTTTATGTCGATGGAAGATTCGATGTCCATGGATATTTTAGAAAAGATTACAGAAATTGTGAAAATGGATAGAAATGGTTTAAATTAAATTAGTAAATAAAACTTTAATAATAGGTCAATTAGGCTATAACTGATAACTTTTAACTATCAGTGAAAATATGAGTAATTTACTAATGAAAAGGTCGTTATCGATAGAAATGTCGGAACAAAATAATAAAGATTGATGAAAATTATTTGAATTAGTAAGTTAAGGTTCAATATTGCTTAATTATGTTTTATTGATAATCAAATCAAATCTATTCTTTAGTTACGTAATTAACAATATATTTGATATGAAATATCGATATATATAGGATGAAATAATGGTAGAAATTTTGAAATATAAAATTTTATTATATATAAATGGGAGTGATACTTGAAATAAAACAAATTGTTTGGAATAACAAGACTTTTTGCACTAAATGCTAAGTTTTGTCTCACTTTAGAAGATCTACAGATACTAGAATAGTTTAGGTAATAAACCTCTTTTATGGGTTTGTAAAAAGTTTTTAAGGTGGATTTAAAATATTAGTGTCAATAGAAATCTCAAAAGAAATTATGAAAAATCATGAATCACTAGTTTCGGTAAGAATTTCCACATCATTGAAGTTATGGAAACATAGAGGTGAAATTTGTTGGGAAAATTAATTACCAAAAATATTTTTTCCTCCCATAATTCTAAATATCCACGAGAATAGGTTGTGGATGATGCTCTACAATAATCTTGGGATCTTGCCTCTGAATTTTTGTCAAATACTGCCTCAATACCCACGAAAAAACGTGCACTAACACGATCCGGCGGCCCCTCAATTATGCACCAACATAATTGATTAAACCTAACATGAAAGAGAAATATTTAAACAAATACATTGCAGCGTTGAGACACTGCACACTACCACTCCAACAATGCAACTCAACAAATCGCACGCCTCCATATTTTCTTGTTATTTATGCAACATCGAGACGCTGTCCCTTAGGTCATCTTGGCCTTGCAACAGCTCGAATATGTTTTTCATCATTTCTTCAATTCCTCCATGGTCCCGACTCATGACTCAATTATAACTGCACAAACAGCTTCTAACTGATCACGTCCTCTTGACACCAACCAAGATCAACTCCCACTAGATCGACAATTTCTAACATCTTTTTGGCACCAATCAATGCTTCATCTGTGATTGCCTTAAGACTGGACAATCCTATGTAGTTTTGCCTCCCAGACATTAGAGACACACCTACGACACTTCCCTATTCATTCGCACCTAACGATTTCTAAAGAAAGATTTCCCTTCTAATGATTTGGAACTCACACACAAGTTCGTTGCCACTCTAAAGACCTCATCGTCGACCTTAGCACCAATTGTAGTCTTTCTCCTTGATGCACTATTTGGTCTATGCAACTTTATCAGCTCGATAATCTGTCTAACAACTGAGGCTTTTTCCTGACAATCTATTGAACACTTCACTCAGCTTAAATTTTTCTTGAACTGATGGCAGATTCTCCTGATTTTTCTTGACTATCAATGCTGCTAGTTCTTTCGAGTCCCCCCTGAACTATCTACAGCCCTGTACATAATCTGTCTCTCTGATCCTCTGGCAACACCAAACCTCAACACACACATTGAAGCTTTTATGTGGCCAATAACCACTACCTCGGATCCCCTTATGAGTTTCCATCTATTTTCTACAAACTCACTTATGTAGTCTTCATCATCTAGTTTCCCTGTTGATATCAAATTCATCTTGAAACTGGGTACATATCTAACACCATGCAAAACTAACTCGATCCCACTATCAGTCCTCAGATTCACCTCCCCAATTCCTTTTACTTTAGAGAGTCTTCCATTCACTGTCCTCATTATGCCATGACTGCCTAGAGTGAGAGATGTAAACCAACTCCTGTCTGAAAATACATGCACCGATGTTGCATTGTCCACTACCCATTCTGGTGACGAATCCACAAATATCGTGTCGTTCTCAACGTCTGCTAACAACATGTCATCTAACACCATGTTTGTCTGGGCTTCCTTTTCTTGATCCTCTTTCTTGCAGTTTTTCTTGAAGTGACTATTCTTATGGTAGTAAAAATAATCAATCCCACTACTCCCACTCCTCTAGCTATGTCCCTACTATTTCCTACATCTCATTTTTCCTTTGCCTTTGCTTTGAACTATCAACGTTGACTCCATAGAGTTCTCGCTACCAGAAGTGGATGCAAAATTTTTCCCACTTCCTTTTCTGCGAATCTCCTCAACAATTGCAACATCACATATATATGAAAATTTCAAACTCTTGTCCTCCAACGAATTCAACACTATCGTCTTCATTTATTTTTTCCCATCTTTCAGGCAAAGAAGACATCAATTTTATAGCCTTAACTTTATCTGAAAAAGTGATCTCCATCGACTCTAATTGGTTCATTAGTTGAGTCACACCTCAGAGTTCACCAATGTATCTTCCTCTATATGAATGTTAAAGTATCTCGTGATGAGATACATCTTGCTGTTGGCAAAGGGTTTCTCATATATGTCCGCCAACGCCTTCATCAATCTCATCGCTATTTTCTAATTCGCTACAAGACTTGCAACATTCATCGACAAGCACAACCTAATGATCGCTACGACCTATTCATCCATCTCTGCTCATTCCTTGTCTGTCATCCAAGTAGTCAACCGTTCTTTCAGGATCTTGTGAATCTTCTTGTATGTAAGAGATCTGTCACTTGCATCTTCGAAAACCCAAAATCTTCCCCATCAAATCTCAAAACCCCCTCGAAGTAGAGAGGCGACTTTCTACTGGATCCAATGACGTTGAACCTTATAGCTTTGATACCACTTCTTGGTATAATTACTTATCAATAATATATTCCTCTTCTATGGTTCTTCAATGAAAACTAAGTCAATCACACAATAAGAGAAATACAAGCAAAACGCAGTAAACGACACAATAAATTTATACTGGTTCACCCCAACTATTGCGGCTA